GAATGCCGAAGATAGTTATCTTGATCCAATGCATATGCATTTCGGCTTCGGTGATTGGTTTAGGCTGTGGTTTGTCAGGCTCTGGCGTGGTAGCCGTGAGGCGCCTGACCGGCACGGGATGCAGGTGGCCCCGCTGCGGGTAGCCCCGCAGGGTGACCACGTTCTCGATCGAGTTGCCGATTGGCATCTGGTGGAAGTCAGGAGTGAAGTAGCGCAGTGAAGTAGGAGAAAGCGTCTCGAGTTCGCGGGTGACCCCGCTAGCTCGATCGCGGACTGGCTCCGCTCCTCGCAGAGCCGGCGCAACATGGTATTCCACCGTGGTAGTAGTCCACCAAGTTGTGCCGTGGATTACTGGAATCAGAGCGAGAGCCAGCCACACGAGAGTGTAGCCAGCTCCGCTACCAAGTCGAAAACAAGCTGGTAAGCTTAGGTATGTATTACGCCTTAGGCGTTGCCATATCCCAGGCTTTGGCTCATATCGCATGAGCAAGAGAGCGAGACGAAGCATGGGATCTGGAGTAAGAGTAGGATGGGCATCGTCAATGGAAAGGATGTTTTCCGATCTCAGATGCAAGTAGTGCGCCTCGGTGAGGCACAGTCACATATCAGGCCGGGCCCGGCTTGAGCCAGGCACGGCAGCGGTACATGCTCGATTTATACCTCGCCTTTAACCTTCTCCGTTTAAAGTTCGGGTCCGTCGTGGAGACCATCTTGGGCGTCTTGGAGGCCTCTTGAGCCGTCTTGGAGCCCTTTTGGGGCCATCTTGGGGGCCTCTGGGGCTGTCATGAGGCCATACTGGAGGCCTCTTTGGCGATCTTGGGGCGACCTTGGGGGCCTGTCGGGCCGTCTTGGGCCTTCGGAAGGCCGAAGAGGCGCATATGCAAACATCTTTCAAACACTTCGACAACATCCATTACTTTGGTCTCTCCGGGTCCTCCTAGGAACCTCTTGGAGGCCTCTTGGGCCTCCTTAGACGTTTATTAGGGGCTTCTTGGCTTCTTGGGCGGACTTTGAAGCATCTTTGGCCTTGTTGGGGCGTCTTGGAGGCCATCTTGGGCTCTCTTGGGCCGTCTTGGAGGGTATCTTAGGCCATCCTCGGCGAACTTGGAGGCCTCTTGGGGCCGTCTTGAAGACTTCTTGGGTCGTCAGGAGGTCATGGGCTACACTTTTTTCACCCCTGTATGCCTTTTTGTTCCTGTGGAGGTGGGCAACCGCAATCGTGGCCGCAAGAATTCTGCCATACCAGCTGGCCGATCTGCGCGGGCGATGCGTTTTGCCATCCAAGTTTCCTGGGGCTTCCTGGGGCTTCCTGGACCTCCTGTGGCTTCCTGGAGGGGCTCCTGGCGTCTCCTGGGCCTTCCTGGGGCCTCCTGGGGAAGGACTCGCTGGGGCCTTCAGGGGACTCCTAGGGCTTCCTGGGGCTCCCTGGGGTGTCCTGAAACATCCTGGGGCTTCCTGGGGCCCTCTTGAAGCTTCCTGGGTCCTCTTGGGGCATCCTCGACTCGTGCTGAAATGCCCGCGCAGCCTTTGAGACGATCGGGGGAGTTCCCATCGGCAACCGCTGTCGCAAACCAGCTCGCCGATGTGATATCGGCTCCCGATTGTGCCAGTACTGTTTCTTATGTTGTGGGGGGGCGGGTGGGAATGGGCATGCCATGCATGTCTCGCTCGAGCTGACTAACTTGACTCCTACTTCTGCTCTTCCTCCTCCTCCTCCTCCTCCTCCTCCTCCTTTCCTCCTCCTCCACCTCCACCTCCTCCTCCTCCTCCTCCTCCTCCTCCTCCTCCTCCCCGCAGTCGTTTCGGCCCGGGCCCCCTTCGCCCGAGAAACATTCCATTCTGGTACCGTATTCTGGCCCATACTTGCAGGCACGCGCCGAGCCGCCATGCCGCGCGCTGGGGCCGTGGCGCTGGGAGCGCTCCTGGCAGCGCTCGGCGCCCCCGCGGCCGCCAGCATTGAGGCGTGGGAGCCACGGCGAAAGTGGCTACACCATTCCCCTTTCGCTCGTGCCCCCCAACCCCGGTCTCCACCCCCACCCCCTCCCCGCCGCCCTCTCCCACCCTCCTCGAGGCGCTTGGCGCTCGCGCGCTTGAGCGCAGACGCCATGCCGCCCAGGCCCCCATCGAAGAGAGCGAGTCCCCTTCCTGCATGCCGAACGCGATGACTTCATTAGTCGTGGTGGGTTCCCTCCTCCTCTCCTTCCCCCGTTCCCTCTCTCCCTGGCTCCGTTCTCTCCTGTCCTCCTCCCTCCTCCCCCTCCCTCCTCCCCCCTCTTCCCCCCTCCCCCTCCACAATTACTCAATATGAATACTACTCTCCCTCTTCCCCTGATGACGTCTTGGGAATATTCGCCCCCCCCCGCGTACTGTTTTTTACACGCAGGTTTCCCCGGAGTTGGGTTTTCGCCTGCATCTTTTTCCAAAATGCAGCTCTCGCTGAGGCGCCGGCATCATTTTCGGGCCCCGCTCGTTCCGAATCGTGCTCCCGCTGCAGCGCTGGCATCATTTCCGCCGGCGCCCGGGCTGCACGCCCGAGCCGGCGCACGGGCCGGCGCTCGGGCCGGGTCCGTAGCCGGTTCCAGCCAGCGCCGGAACATCGAGTTCCAAGGCGGCGCCGAAAAAAGGCCATTCTAATACATTTTTCTTTGAAAATGCTGAAGTTCTGCTTCCGGCGCCCAGGAGGCCGCCCGGGCCGATTCCGACGCCCAGGCCGGCGCCCGAGCCGGCGCCCGGGCCGGACGCCCGGGCCGGCGCCCGGGCCGGCGCCCGGGCCAGGTCCGGAGCCGGTTCCGGTCGGCGCCAGAAAATCGAGTTCTGAGGCGGCGCCGAAAAGTGCCATTCCAATGCATTTTTTGTTTTTTTGTTTTTGAAAATGCTTAATTTCTTCTTCTGGCGCCCGGGAAGCTTTCCCCGGAGTTAGGTTTTCGCTTGCATTTTTGTTCCCAAAATGCTGCTCTCGCTGAGGCGCCGGCCTCATTTTCGGGCCCCGCTCGCTCCGAATCGTGCTCTCGCTGCAGCGCTGGCCTCATTTCCGTGCTTCCGCTCGTTCCGATTCGTGCTCCCGCTGCAGCGTTGGCCTCATTTCCGCGCTTCCGCTCGTTTCGACTCGTGCTCCCGCTGCAGCGCTGGCGTCATTTCCCGTGCCGTGCCACGGCATGCAATGCAATGCTAGGTTGATACGACGCTTTGCGGCGCTCTTCTACGCCATGCCATGCCGTGCTCTACACTGCATCGCGTACCCTTTCGGGATCATCGCCCTGCTCGACATCCGACTGTGCGAGTAGAGAGGGGATCTGCGCCATGGTAAAGGCTGGGAGGGATGTCAGATATGACGCGAGCGCACCCAGCTTGTCCCCAGCCCCCTCCCTCTTCCTCCCCTCCTCCCCCTCTCCCCGCCCTCGTCCCCCCTCCCACCGCCCCCCCCTTGCGCCACATGTTGCGGGGCGGGCGCCCTCCCCCCCCCGCGAGACCCGCCCGCCGAGAGGTGCGGCGGGCGCGCAGGGGCCAGAAGGGCCACGGCAGCGCCAGGCGGCACCGGGAGCTGCTCGAGGCCGCGAGCGGCGACTGTCGGTAGCGCTTCGCCTCCTCCGCCTCCTCCTCCGCCTCCTAGTGCTCCTTGTTTTTGCTGCTGCTCCTGCTCCTCGTTCAGCTCCGTCATCTCCTCCTCCTGCTCCTCCTTCCTCCCGCCTCCTGCTTCCTCCTCCTCATCCTCCTCCTGCATCTGCTATATCTTTTTTCTAAGGACCAACTCCTCCCTGTCACACCCCCAGGCGTGTCGGTAATTTGGGCGGGCCGGGCGTTTCACATGACAGTTGCAACAGTTTCACGGATGGCGGGCAGGTGGTTTTCAAAATGTGGCTTTCCCCTTAGCGCCTCGCACATTCGTCTTAAAAGTTTGCGGCAGCTTCGCGGATGGAGGGCGGGTGATTTTCAAAATGTGGTTCGCGCCTTGGTGCCACGCACATTCGCCCTAAAAGTTTGCAGCAGTTTCACGGATGGTTGGCGGGTCTTTTTCAACATGTGATGTGCGCCTCAGCGCCGCGCAATTTTATCCTTGGGATTCCTATTCGTATGGCTGAACTTCCAGGAGTGGTGTTCTGGTACGATTTAGGATTGTTAGGACGCAACAGTTGCGTTGATCGGCGGTGTCGGAGTCCCAGGAAAGATGTTTTGGGACGACTTAGGCTTGCCAGGGCGCGACAGTCACGTTGATCCGCAGCGTTGGAGTCCCAGGAATGGTGTAGTGACACGACTGAGCATTGTCAGACGGTTGTTTTTTGTATTGGCCACTTCCCACAATGACACATCAATGTTGGTGTAGGTACCTCCGTAGCCATTTTGGCTCAAACCATTTTTGGCTCAAGGTGGCTGGCCCTGCCAGCGACTGGCACGCGGCACGCCTGTAAGGTTTCCCCATTCTCTCCGTGATGTCTGCTGCTCCACACACGATCATTGCTGATCTTCATGGGGAGTTGATCCGACGGCTTTCGTTAGTTGCTGGCACGCACTTCGAAGGTCTCGAGCAGGCGGGTCGTGTTTTTCGCCGAGCTGGTCGTATTACAACCGGCACTGCGCACAAGCTTGCCCGCCTGGGCCACGCCTACAACCTGACCCGTCATGTCACGTGTGTTTCCGCTACGAGCTTCCTGGACTCGGTGATGATGGAAGTGGGCGAAACGCCATGTTCTACGGGTTTGCAGGCTACGTCATCACAGCCTTCAGATGCTACGTTGAAGACTGCGACTTCGGCCTCTCTGTTTTCTTCGCCTGCATTGACGGCTACTTCGACATTGATGACTGCTCCCACGTCGGCTGCCCCTTCACCGAAGGTTTCGACATCACCGCCTCCAGAGGAGGCCCTGGGAGCTGTCCATCCAGTTCCTTATCGTGCCGATGGTGTGGTCTCTGCTGATAGTGTCGGCGATGCTGCACTTCCCTCCGAAGCTCGACTGGGTGAAGCTCCTGTTCGTGCAAATCTGCTCCATGATGACGATGCTCAGGGTGATGGCGTCGGCACCTACGACGTGATGTCGACGTTCACCGTTACCATCTACCAGCCGTGCCTCTGCACGGCCACTATTCCTGACGGCCGCGGTAGCGGGCCCGGGTCCCTCGGCACGGCGACCCACGACGCGAACATCTTTGCGACGGGCGACTACGTGATCCCTGCGATCCCGTTCACGTTCGCCCCGAACTCGTTCCGCCTCTCTGAGCCCTGCGATGCGTCCGACCGCGTTCGATACCGCGGCAAACGCGCGGTCTGAGGCAGATCCTTCCTCCACCTCCTGCTGTGTGCTCTGTGGCTGTGGGTGGGGGTGGGATGACGACGACGTATGGGAGTGGATGGGAGGGTGTCGTAAGTCTCTCTTTAGGCCGCCTCCTTGGTGATTTTCCTGAGCCTCCTCCCCGTCTCCTCCGCGCCCTTGCGCTGAGCATGTCGGCTATCCAGGTCTCTCTCGTGTTCGGGTTGTGGAGGTTTTATGATGAGATTTGTAAGAAGGCAGGCTTCAGAGGTACCTCTCGAATCTGTCTTGTCTGTCTTTGCGTGCTGGTAGCCTGAGGGAGGTTGAGGCTGTGTGCTGAAGCCCTCCGCACAGGAGTTTAAATTTAACTCCCCCAGGCCTTTCCAGCATCGCGTTGACTTACTCGGGCCCTCGATCTTTCGTGCCCCTGTTTTCTTCGGTCGTGGCCCTCGCTCGGCGTTGTCTGGGTCCTGGGTTTCCGTCCCTCGTTTCTTTCGGCCCCCCCTCGGGCCCATCGCTCGTCGCCTCGGCGCCACGGGCAGGAGTGCTCGGCACTCGATCACCCGCGCGCAAATAAAACAAATGGTGTAGGTACCTGTGAGGAGGGAACTTGGAAGGAATGTTCATTGCAACGTCGTTGATGGATGCGTATTGGGTTTTTGGCCCTTTTACTCCCCCTCTTTACTACTGCTGTTGCTCCTCCTCCTCCTTCTCCTCCTCCCTGGAGCAGGCTTCTTGTAGGCTTGGCCCAGTAGCACTCTTTGCCTCAACAGGCGCTCCTCCTCCTCCTCCTGCTCCTTCCTCACATCGGGAGGGAGAGCGAGTATCAATGACACGCTGCCGTCAGTAGCCCGTCGGCGTGTCACTCCCTCGTGTCTGTCCGAAGGCCAGATGTTGCCTTAACAGTCTCATGCCAAAGGGTTCCCCACGGCGGCGTGTCATTGGTATTGACGACGACTTAGCGGAGCGAAAGGAAAATGACCCCTCTCCTCCTCCTCCTCCTCCTCCTCCTCCTCCTCCTCCTCCTCCTCCTCCTCCTCCTCCTCCTCCTCCTCCTCCTCCCCCTCCTCCTCCTCCTCCTCCTCCTCCCTCCTCCTCCTCCCTCCCTCCTCCCTCCTACCCTCCTCCCTCCTCCCTCCTCCTCCTCCCTCCTCCCTCCTCCCTCCACACTCCTTCCTCCTCCATCCTCCTCCTCACTCCTCACTCCTTCCTCCTCCTCCTCCCTCCTCCCTCCTCCCTCCTCCCTCCTCCCTCCTCCCTCCTCCCTCCTCCGTCCCCTCGGGGATTCGAAGATATTCTCGGGAACTTTGGGTTAGCGTGTCACTCCGCCGGTTCTGGTTCGCCACGCCTCGGCGCAACGCATCTATCACTTTCATGTCCCCCAGGCATCAGCGCCCCGAGCATTTCCCAGCCTCCCGCTCCACGGAGCGGAGCGACACGCTATCAACTCGCAGGGCACAGCGTGACGCCAGGGCCACCGCCGCGTCGCCAGGGCCACCGCTGCGACACGCTAAGTAAAAGTTCCCGACCGTAGGGCACATGAGGCGTAGAGCCCTGAGTCATGGGCGGACGACGGGTCCACATCCACGTCCATGACAAATCCATAACCATCTCCTCGGCCGCGGCCCCATGGCTACGGGGCGGCTTTGCGCAAATGCCCCGCGCGGAACGTATCAATGGAGTCGCGTATCCACTGGATCGCGCCCTAGAATCTAGATCGCGCGGGCATGGATATGATATGTTCGTCGCTTGTGACTAAGGGTGAGAACGAGCTTCCAGGCTGAATGTGCCCTGTTCAAGGCTTCCTCCCCTTAGGGCCCCATGTCTGAGGGCCCCTTCTGAGGTGCCGGTCCTCCCTTTCCTCTCCTCATTGTTTGCCTGTTTGTTCTGCTTTGTTTTTGCGACGGGCCGACCTTTGACCGCAGGGTCGGGGTCCCTTCCCTCCATTTCTCCCCGTCCTCCTCCCCTCTCCTCTCCACTCCTGCTGCTGCTCCTCCTCCTCATCATCACACTCATCATCACACTCATCATCATCATCATCATCATCATCATCATCATCATCATCATCATCATCATCATCATCATCATCATCATCATCATCATCATCATCATCATCATCATCAGCATCATCATCATCATCAGCATCATATCATCATCATCAGCAGCATCATCATCATCATCATCATCATCATCATCATCATCATCATCATCATCATCATCATCATCATCATCATCATCATCATCATCATCATCATCACCAGCATCAGCATCAGTATCATAATCATCAGCAGCATCATCATCAGAATTATCATCACCATCATCATCATCATCATCATCACCATCATCATCATCATCATCATCACCATCATCATCATCATCATCATCACCGTCGTCGTCACCACCCCCCCCATCATCACCTTCTTCAGCATCATCATCATCACCATCAGCATCATCATCATCATCACCACCATCATCATTGAATCTTCATCATCCCCGTCGTCGTCACCATCACCATCACCATCACCATCATCATCATCATCATCATCATCATCATCAGCTTGAACATCATCATCATCATCATCAGCATCATCATCATCATAAGCATCAGCATCATCACCACCATCATCATCATCATCACCATCACCATCACCATCGCCATCACCATCATCATCATCATCATCATCATCACCAGCATCATCATCATCATCATCTAATCATCATCGTGATCATCATCAGCATCATCACCAGCATCAGCATCAGTATCATAATCATCAGCAGCATCATCATCAGAATTATCATCATCATCACCATCATCATCATCATCATCATCATCATCACCATCATCATCATCATCATCATCATCACCGTCGTCGTCACCCCCCCCCATCATCACCTTCTTCAGCATCATCATCATCACCATCAGCATCATCATCATCATCACCACCATCATCATTGAATCTTCATCATCCCCGTCGTCGTCACCATCACCATCACCATCATCATCATCATCATCATCATCATCATCATCATCATCATCAGCTTGAACATCATCATCATCATCATCATCATCAGCATCATCATCATCATCATAAGCATCAGCATCATCACCACCATCATCATCATCATCACCATCACCATCACCATCGCCATCACCATCATCATCATCATCATCATCATCATCATCATCATCATCATCATCATCATCATTCTCCGTTCCTCCTTCCTCCTCCCTCCTCCTTCTTCCTCCTCTTCCTCCTTCCTCCTCCTTCTCCTTCCTCCTTTATCCTTCCTCCTTCCTCTTTCCTCCTTCCTCCTTCCTCCTCGGTGCCTCAACTGGAGGTCCGTGTTCACCCAGAAGGGCGGGAGGTGCAGGGCTCGGACGCGACGCGGGCTCGGTCCCGCCGGCCCCCCGGGAGGGGCTGGCCCTGGCCGCCCGGGAGGCTCGGCGAGGCCCCTCCCGCCCAAGCCGGTGAGGGAATGTGGGAAGGAGGAGGGTTCGACTACACGCCGGTCCTGGAAGGCAGGTGTTTCTGGATTCCCAGGTCTCAGTCCACTTCCAGCGCCTTCTTCAAGAGCCGATCTGTTTTTGCTGTGTTTGTTGTTCTCTGGGAGGGCCTGAGTCCAACAAACTTTAACCGCCTTCCTACTTCAAGCTTATACCTAAGCTACTTCTTCCGACCGACGTGTACACGTAGGAATGACCCTTCGCCGGAGTGACCTTTGGTGTGGGCCCATTGGGGTCCCCCGACCGCCGAACGCGATATGATTGTAGCGTCTTGCGCGCTTGTTTTTGGTCTACCCGCGGCCCCCAAACAACCGCGCACCAGGGGTCACCCTTACCCAGGGTCACTATTGCGTGTAGGCAAAGGATGGGGAGACATCGCGTACGGCGAATCACCGCAAATTGGCCAAACATGTGGGCAAAGTTTGGCCATGCTATTAGACCATGCGTCCCCCCATCCGTCGTGGAAGCCCTTCCGGGAACACGTGGGGGAGATGGAGGATGAGGAGAGGGAGGAAACGGGAGGATGAGGATGAGGAGACCTCTCGGGAGCTTCTTTGGTCATTCTTGGGGCCTCCTGGGAGCTGCCTTCCTAGGGGCCTCCTGGAGGCCTCTTGGGGGCCTCCTTGGGCCTCCGGGTGGTCTCTCGGGGGCTCCTTGGGTGCCTCTCTGGCCGTCCTCAAGCGGTCCTGACGCCGTCGGAGGCCGTCTTGGGAGCCCCTCTGGGCCGTGTCCGTGGCGGCCTTCTCCGTGGCGGTGGCGGGGGTGGCTGTGGTGCGCCACCCGCCGGGGGAGGGGCAGCGGAGGCCGACTTGTGGGGTGGCAGGTCATCCTTGTGCAGCGGATGGGGGCAGGTGGTGATATGTTGGCGCCGCAGTCACTTGACATCCAGCCTCGACCTTACGATGCCCCTCTCCTCGATCCTCGAGGTTCGATGATCGACGATTGAGCTCTTCGCTTCATCGAAGACGCCTACGTCGAGTCACCGCCGCCCCCCTGCCTTTTGGAAGCGCCTATGCGGCCGAACGTCGCGGCCAGAGCGCGGCCAACCACCCCAGCCGTTGTGGAAACCGTTTGGGGAACACGTGGGGGAAAAAGAAGAAGAGGAGAACAACGAGGAACAACACAGGAGGATGCTGATGATGTTGATGATGCTAATGATGTTGATGCTGATGCTGATGATGCTGATGATGATGCTGCTGATGCTGCTGTTGATGCTGCTGTTGATGCTGATGCTGATGATGATGACGTTGATGATGCTGCTGATGATGATGATGATGCTGATGCTCATGAGGATTATGACGATGGCGACGTGACGATGATGCTGATGCTGATGATGCTGATGCTGATGATGATGCTGGTGATGATGATGATGATGATGATGATGATGATGATGATGATGGTGATGATGATGATGATGATGATGATGATGATGATGATGCTGATGCTGATGCTGATGCTGATGCTGCTGATGATGATGTTGATGATGATGACTATGATGATGGTGGTGATGATGATGCTGATGATGCTGATGATGCTGCTGCTGATGATGATGCTGATGATGATGAGGATGATGAGGATGATGATGATGATGATGATGAGGAGGAGGAGGAGGAGCAGGAGGAGGAGGAGAAGGAGGAGCAAGCAAGCAAACAATCGCCCGTGGAGTCCTGGTGCAAAGCTGTGGTCTGGCAGACTAAACAAACTTTGCGGACTCTGGGGGGCATTTCATTTGAACGCCTATCAGCCTCTGGACGTGAGCTCTGTGCTCTCGCCCACAGGGCGCACTGCCCCTATAAGGGCAACCCTCACTACGGGCACGCATCCCCTCAGGGGTCCGAGGCGCGCACCCCGCCCACCCCCCCTCGGAGGACGAGGGCGGAGGGTGACGGTGGGGACAGTTGGGGCTTCCCCCCCAGGGAATCGTGCCCTTGGGAGCCTCCCGCTCCTCAAAAGCTCTTGATACCTAACGCTAGTGGATCAAACGGACGTGCTCGCACCTCTCGGTATCGGAGGGGTCGCCCGTCGTCTGCTCGAGTTGTCCCGCCCACCCGTAGTCCCACCCCCCCGCCCACGATCTTCATCGCTAGGCTGCTGGCTAGACGCTGCTGCTGTCATGCTGGTGGCGATATTTACCGATGCTGCTACTAAAACGCGTATGCTCGAAATTCGTGCTTATCAGAGTAGGCGGGGGGGCGGCTGAGGATGGCTGTGAAGCTGGGCTCGGCCTCCGAAGGAACAGGACCCACCGTCCGAGCCCCCAGGACAAAACAAATGTTCCTCAGCCCCCCCCCCAAACAAATCTGAACTCGCCCTCACTACACTGGCCTCACTCAGAACAACTTCCCTTTGCCCTGGGCCTCGATAGTGCGGGCGGCCTCCCTCTCTAGTGGGCCTCTGGGAGCGGCTCCTGTCTTGCGCACTCCTTTGAGTGCCGTCATCGACTGCAGGATCAGCTGGCGCAGGTTGGTCGCATGCTCGTGGTGCGGGTCCAGGGCCCAGATGATCCTTCCCCTCGGTCCGTCTGCATTCTCCTTCTTGCCCTTGTTCGGACGCCAGCGGAAGTGAAGGGCCAGCTCCGACAGCTGCTGCGGGGTGGACTGCATGACCACTGCGTCCCAGAACTCGCGCCACCCCTTCTGCAGCCCGCCCTCGAATTTGTTCACGGCCCACAGGACGCCCGCGGAGAAGATCTGCACGTGCGGCGGGCCCCTCGAGCCCCAGTCGAGGCTCTGCCCCTGAGCCTGCTTCTCTCTCTCTAGTCCTTGCTCTGCGCGTCGCAGCGCTTGCCAGCCTCGCGGAGGGCCGTGGGCATGCCGTCGTCGACGTCGGCGACCTCGAACGTGGTGACGACTGTGCCGATCACCTCTGCGATGGCGCGACTGTCGGCCAAGACCAGGCGCGCCAGCATGTAGAGCAGCTTCTTGTCGTCCTCCGACTTGGGCCCCCCCGTGTGCGGCTTCTTGGAGGCGGGTGGCCCTGCCAAAGGCGGGCTCTCGTGCAACGGCTTCATCCATCCTGGCATCGCTACGCCGGCCGCGCGCATTGTCACGGTCTGGTGGGATCAGCTGAGCAGGAAGGTGTTGGGCAATATGGCTACAGAGGTCGGCAAGGTCGGATCCCTCGAACTCGCATATCGGACATGCTAGGCTCGTCGGTGTTTGGACATCGTAGAATTTCGTGGGGCCCCTGGTACTGCATATGCCTTTGGTGACCGACTGTGACAGGTGGCGACCAGCGATGATCCTGGAGGCGAACGAGCGGCGACAATATATGCAAACATTGGTAGGCGAAAGTAGGTGGCCTAGGTTTCGGATTCTGTGTCGATGTCGAATATGCTCAAGTAAGTCTCGCTTTGTACGAAAGGCAGCAGGACATGTTGTTTCTCCGTCAGGCCATTCGCACTTCCACGGTAAGGGTGGCGCCTCGTCTTCGCCAGCAGGCGCCACTGGTGCATATTCGGGGGGAGGGATGGCTGCACGGAGCTCGCGTACTCGCAACTCGGTAAAATCAAGCCGACGGAATTCTTTAGCCACCTGTGGGTCCAAGAACTCCAGATGGTTGTCGGCGAGGTGCACCAGCAGATCAGACTCCATCTGAGCGGCCGCCACACGGAAGTCGTCCTGAACACGTTTGGCCCAGGGAGAAGCATATCTCGACAGCCTTGGGTAGACCGTCGGCTGGTATGGGTGGCCCCCATTCCCTTGTTCAAACTCGATCGTGCCGAACAGAGAACCGAGAACATGAGAATTTTCCTTTGGGTGTTTACTCCAGTCCTGGTACCATCGAAGCCGTCGTACTCGCATTTCGATCTCGCAGCGGGCGATCTTCCAAAACTTGAGAACCTGGTCGTTCGTCCATGTGCGGATCTTCTTCTGAACCTCCTCCCCCTGCCCCGAGATGACCTCCTCCTTCGTTCCTCGTCCTCGGAGAGGGACACGGGCAAGGTGAGCAAGACGCGAGTCCATTCTTTGGTACTGTACATCTGAAACGTCGAGCGCCTCAAGACCACTCAGCATAGCATTCTGGACCATGCTGATGAACACTGTGCGCGACCATTTCCACGGGACCGAGAGCCCCCAGAAGCCTCCCATGCTGTAGAACCCATTCGAAGCTGCTTCCAGACGCCTCTGAACTTCCGAGGATGAGGTGCAGGAAAGGTTGATATGCGGGCCAAGGTATCGAGCTTCCTCTTGGAGACTGCCCCCGAGTTCCCTGACAGCATGTGTTCGTATCCATCTTCTACAAGCCAGGGAACCCTCCCCTCCCACATGGAACATAACAACTTGTTTGTCGAGGTTCTGCTTATAGCCTATGGTCTCCAGGGCCTCATCGAGGATCTGGTCTGAGCGCTTGAGCACCTGGAAAAAATCGGAGACGGGCTGAAAATCTCGTGCAAGCGTGAACTTCAGCAGGTCGTCTGCGTACTTAAAAAGGCTGAGGTCGGTAGCAATGTCCTCGCCTGTTGGTAGCAATGTCCTCGCCTGTTCCTGGCAATCTGAACGTCGCCTGTAGGTCGGAGGAGGTGGGGTGTTGATCTAGCTGCATCCATCGTTTTACTGGCCGTCGGAATGTTCCCAAGAAGAGTTTCACCACAAAAGGGTCTCCCATCGTTCCTCCCTCCTTCGGTGCCACCCACAGGTCGTCCTCGTCGTCATTGGTCGGTAGTTTGACACGTGTTTCTCGATACCTCTGTTTCCCCAGTGCGATATCATCGATCGTCGCGGCGAAAATCCCCACTGTCTTGTCGAGCTCCCTCCAGTCCCCCGTCCCGAAGGCGTTTGACAAATCCTTGAAACCTGCTGCGACACTTCTGCCTGCCCTTGTGAGTCTCCATGCAGTAGCTTGTGCAGCAAGAATGGCGCCCTCTCGGCGTCTCCACTTGACAAAGCCGAAGTCGGACTCGTCGGCAGGAGCGTGCAGCAGGCCGGCGTAACAAGACTTCCCT